CCAAATAAAGAAATGTGTTGTAAATATAGAAAATAAAACCTTCTATAGCATTTTCAGGGCATACTAAAAAGTGATCTCCAGTACCAGAACATGCTTGTTGTTGCAATGGTTTGTGGGTTATGAAGATATCGTAGTCGGCTCTTTGTCTGGAGCCACATTCAAATTCTATCAACATAATTTATTGATTTTTCTCCATTTGTGTTCATAATTTTGCAACCCTCGCTGGTCAAGAGGGCGCCATTCAATGCGCATGGTGGGGAGAAGGCCGATGCCTTCTTAGCAGATGCCATCATTAACCTTATCCTCAACGTCAACAGCTTTACTAAATATTCTTTAAACATAAAGTCCAACCAACATATTTGCAGGTGGGTAGAAATGTAGTTCGGCTCATTTGTGGTCAGATGATCTAGGTATTACTGCAGATAATACAATCTTCCTGTATTGAAAAACAGGAGAAAGGCAGAAAACGTAAAAGGCTACTAATTCTCAACCGTTAAAGAAAATTAAGCCGAGGGATGAGTTTCATTTTAATAGTCATGTACGCAGAGCCTTGCTAATCCCTTATTTTAAGGGTCACAAAAGCAGCGTCAAAGCCAGTTAACATAACTCTAGCCTTTTTCAGAAATGATTGTGTGTATCTCATTAGCTTTAAATAACAGGCTAATGCAAATGGATAACACTAGGCACTAGAAGACAACAATACATTTCAGCAAAAATATCTGATCAGTGTTAAAATATCTCAACTACTTGACAGGAATTTAAAAGAAAACGTACCAAAAAGAAGGGGATAAAATGTGTACAAGGCTGCTTTATCTGGCTTTTGTTTGTGTGTGTGGGCGTGTGTGTTAAGGGTTTGCCGGACTGCCAACCCTCATTATTGTCCATCAGCAGGGGTTCAGAACAAGTGTGTGCGTGAGTGAGAGACACGCCAACTTCATCTCAACTCACCACTGGTTGTGAATGTACAGCAGATGCGTAAGAGTCATCAACACTGGTCACGAGCTATTGATTACCTCATTGATGAGGCTGGGAAAGGGGGAGAGGTGGAGGGCTGGGGCTACTGTTTATTCAGGGTCACAGACCAACCCAGCTGTGTGCAGCCAGGATCTTTCATCGGATTTGTCCATTTCGTAGCTGTCAGTCAGAGCTAAGCCTTCAGTCTAGGCCTGGTGTCAAAAGGCGGGAGTTGGTAAATGCCAAGTCAGTATTAAGCAGTTCTTGTTGGCATAGCAGGACACCAGCACCTTGGGTTTAACACCAAGAAAGTTGCTCTAAGCATTTCCAGTGCTTCATGTCCCACTGTTAGTAGCAGCTGGTGTTCACTCTGGTAACCTCAGGTGATCCCTTGGCGCCTTGTATGCAGAATGAGTCAGATCATGGTGCCTTAGCCCTTGACAGATCGTCTTGGCAGCTTGCAGTGGGAACTGCCTTCAGTTTACGAAACCTTTCCATTCTGTAGCGCTCCTCTCTGAAGTCATTGTTTGTAAAGACAGCTTTGCTGCTTGCCTTGACCTTAGCTAAGAGAGTATTTGAGCTAACCACCTTGTTGGTACACCACAGATGCTTGATGCTTCTTAGGGAACGAGCTTGGCTACACTCAAGACTTATGCTGAAAGTCATGTTTGGGACCGGGAGACAAAGCTGCACCTGTTTTTCCAATTCCCTCCATTGCCCAGTCATGTTCAACATAGACTGCATGCTGGCAATAAAGGGACAGTCATTAGGATACATTAACCATCCACCAAACCATCCGGCAGATATTAAGCTTTTCCACGGATACTCGGTGTTAATCCACATAAATGTTTCATGTTTGGGCCCAATATATGGTAAAACCAAATAACGTTTCATCGTGGCTAAAAAGAACTTCATCCATAATCTTCCAGAAAATAAAATTTACTATAATAAAATATATTCAATTTAATTTGTTAAATCACAAATTACAAACTTGCCTCAGCAGGCTTTACAGTCTGTACACAAACTCAAAATCGGCACAGAAAAATCTCCCCAAACAATACATAGTTGTCTTTCATCTGGCAGTGTCCACCAACACCTCTATGTGAAGGTACATACTGTTTCATTAGCTTCAGGCTCTGTTAAGGTCAAGTGTCTCACTTTTGATTTGTTGTTCCAACCACAAGTTGTAATATTAGAGCTGTAAGATTCTCGAGCTCTCTGGCTCGCTTCTCAAGACAAGCAATTACACCCTCACACACACACACATACACTCTCTCTTTTTCCCACACACTGACACACACACACACACACTCTCGTTCTCTCTCACGTGCACACACACACTAACAAATACACATGTTTTTCTATCGTCTTGCTGTGTGTCTCAGTGACCTTGTGTCTTTAAATCCTTGATTGTCCCATCATAACTGGATAAGCTACTTGTTTTTCATGTACTAAAGCTCCACTGGGACTGCAGCACCCAGTGGATTGTCTGTGGGTGGAATATAGGGCGACTTAACTTCAGCAGGCCTGTTAAAGGGTTTCTAGGTCATGTTCATGACCACTTTTTCAATGAATGTGGGCTGCCACTGAATACATGTATACTGTACATGCAGAAATGACCTTATACGACATGTCATCTTCGGGTACTAAATTTCGAAATATATTATTACCTAAGTTTGATAATGAAAATGTAGCATAAAAGAACAAAAGCTTCATTATAGTACTCAAACTATATTCTTTGTAGTTTATTTCATGTGATACTGATGATACACTGAATTTGAATCTGTTAACGTGTCCACTCTCTTCTCCTGGTATAGGCTACATACAGCAGTAGTGCAACTATTGTCTTGTTCTTTACAGATCCTTTGTAAATGAATACAGGAGAATCCTGTGGATGGTTCATCTGTTCTCTTCTTTTACAATAACATTTTTTTTAAACGTATTTAGTCTCCTGCAGGTTTGTGCAGATTCTCATCACAGATCCATTGGTCCTTCAGCACTGAGGTCTAAATGTGGTTCCCTCAAATACCACCAATATCAGTTTATCCATCCTCTTTACATTCCAGATTACCTCCCATCTGCTTTGATTATGCTGAGACACCTGCATCTCTTATCACATACAGTGTCCCTATTTATTACGCGTTAAAAAGTAGTTCACACTGATGCCAGGAATTGGTTGCTAATTTCTCAAAATGGATATTCATGGCAACCATTCATCCATCTTGCATCTGCCAACAGTTAGTGCCTTAGAGGGACAGCAGTTTTGGTGTTTTTTTTAATTAAAACTATGACCTAGGGCGCTTCGTTAACTTATTATAAAAAACGGAGGCCCTCACCAATGAATACTTTGAAACCCTTTTGATAAGGCTTGTACCCTTGTCAACAGGCAAACAATTTAATTAGTGTTGATTGTTGTTGGCGTGTTCAATAGTTATTAATTAGAGTGGGGTGGGCCCCCGTCTAGGTTGCACGCCTGAAGCTGTGACGCATTGTGTTGTCCCACAATCCAGAATCACAGAGATGAAGACTGGCTGGAGTGGTGTGGGTTGGGAGCCCTTTTTAACTAAGAACAACTTATTAAATAGCAATATGTGGAAAGGGAAGACTAATCAATTTTATTGCTGCCTCTGATGGTACAAAAGGTGTTGAGTGGTTGCGTTTCATTTTTTGTAAAAAAAACTTTCAATTGCTTTTGTGCGCTGCACTATGCTAGTAGTGCAAGTTTAATCTTCAGAGAGAAAAAAAACTGAATGTCACTTACATACAGTACATGGCAGTTGGGTACCTCAAGGTTGGAGAAGCTAGCAGGAGAACGAGAACATGAACAAAACAATGTACTACTGTGGATTGAGGCAGCAGCAACACATCTTTAAGACAACTAAAAAAATGAATATCCATTCAAGTATACATTATATGATACAGTACCAGTGAAAAGTTTCTTTCAAAGACAAGTTTTTAAATCTTCTTGGAATGAATATATTTTGGTAACTCTTCAGCCTACGGATTGATTCATCATCATAGCTGAATTTAGATTCATATTTATATTAAATGTTTTTCACGTGCAAACTTAGATTTGAACTGCATTGACAGGTTACCATACCATACTCCAATTACACTCTCCAGACTCATTGAATAAAACCATTTTTTTTTCTGTTAACAACATTGAGCCCAAACCTTTTCAAAGAATACATTATGTGCTTTGTCAAAGTTTTTCAAACATAAAATAATTTACTCTTTGTGTAGCAAGAAATTCGGTGTCTGGAAATCACATTTGTAAATGTTTTTTACGCCTTAAAACCCTTTAATGATGGATGGGAATAAACCAATAAATACAACGTAGAGGGCTCAAACAAAAACACCATGTGTAAATGGCTTTCTTGCTGAAAGTGGGCAGTTTGTAGCTTTTAGAGGTGCACTCCTGTTGACCTCCTTCCTCGTGCTCCAGGGGTGACACTTCATCAAGAGGCCTTGCGACAGAGCAGGAGTGACGAGGACCATCCCCCTCTCCTCGCCTCTTCCTCTCTGTCCTGCTCTTGATGTGCCTTTTGTTTGGTGCCTAATGACAGCTCTGATGGAACCGTCATGCTCTGTGATCAACCCGGCCCACAGACAGGCCTTTTTTTTGTGCTCCCGCCGCCGCTCTGCTCATTCCCCTTCTCTATCTACTCCCATAGGCTCCCAGAGAGCTCACCTCATCAGCGCGGATCTAAGCTGGCACTACATCAAATCTCATTTCACAGATCTAGTCTGTGTGTGTGTATATATATATATATATATATATATATATATATATATATATATATATATATATATATATATATACTGTGTTGGTATGTATATATTCCTGTATGTGTATGCTGCTATGAGCTGCAGACAGGGAGGCCTAGTGGCTAAAAATATCATTTTCCCCGGCTCTGGAATTGTCTGGAGGGTTCATTGGAAACTTGTGCAGCTGGTTGGGTTTCCCGCTGTTCGCCTGAACATACCCTCATTCTGAGACGGTGAGCAGCTCTGCCTATTAAAATGTAAATTCTCTCTCGGTGCAGCGGCGGGAGCAGCAGCGACGGCAGCAGGCGAGCTCAGACAAGAATGCTGCAGTGAAGGAAGAGGAATCTCGTGGGGGTGAGAGGTGTTCGCTGGATGAGTCTTCCACCATGCAACAGCTCCCAGATCGGCGGCTTGTGGCCGTACAACATGCTCGCTGGTCAGCCTGGCCCTTCAGCGGATTTCAAAGCCCTGGCTGGAAACAAAAGGTTTTTCCTCTGATGTAAAACATTTTCTCTTTCTCATGTTTGCCTTTTTAATGTAGTGAGGTGATCAAAAATGTTCAGACAGCAGTTGACAAAATGCAACGTTTTTTTTTAATGACTTTCATCTCATCTTAAAACATTGTTTTTCAAGTTTCAAGATTGCAAAAAGCGTTTTGAGGATAAATTCGTCATAATGAATTATAAAATACTCATTTAGGTGTTATCTCATCATTGCCTTGTTGTAAATAGAATTACAATAAAATGTAAAGTAACGGCTCTTCAAGATTACAAACAATGATTTGTATTCAGCACATTCAACCCATTTTTATTGCTTATAAGCCCCTCATGAGAAGGCCCAGATATGTTGTTATATATCACTCACCATACTGTACTGAAGACAAATAAATTAAATCACGTAGTGAAAATAATGAGAATGAACACACCAAATATTAGACAATAGCATGATCATTGTGTCTATATTGTAAAACACTGCAAGCATATGTATATATATGCACCGTTGTTTATCCTGAATCTGTTTGGTTCTTTGTACATACAAAGGTCGCCTCACTTCTATGTGTCTAGTGTCTGTCTGTCTGTATTGTCCCTTTCAAATAAACTTGTGAGGAAGATAAGGATAAAAAAGAGATTATTGATTTAAGGTGTGATTGCAGTTTTGGTTTTGAAAATAAGCATAAAAACCCGAAGAAGATAAAATGTTGTTTTCTAAAAATTGCAATGCATGGTTTAGTCCCGTTCCAAGGACTGGCTACATCGCTAGAAAAAGATTTGAAATAATCATTATCAAAGGCCTATTTTACGATCTGTAAAAAATGTGGAGAATGTGGTAAGAAATATACCCATATGCTATATTATAAGAATAGTGATGTTTATGTTCGACTGCTTGTTTATGTGATTCAGACAAAGCTAAAGTATGAACCTCTATTGTATCCAGGTAACCCTGGTGGAGTCTTATTTTGTATCCTTATATTTCTCATATCATTTGCCTCTAATGAGTCAATGATCAGAAAGAAATGACAAGTAGAGTTCATTGTGTAGCTGTAAACTGACTGCAAACCATAGTTGAAGCTGGTTGAACTTGTCTTGCTTCCTGTCTGAATTCTCAGTGTGAAACACTAGATGGAGCTGTGATCATACCTCAGACCGCTTACACACTAACTTACTGCGGTTGGGCACAGGCCACTTCCACAGCCTCCATCACAGGAAATACAGCTGGCTGCTTCTCCTGTCAGCCTCTGTGCATGATGACTTTGCTGCATTGTGTTCCACTTTTCCCATCCAGCATTTCATTGTATCCAGGAACAATCAATTGGACAGAGTGAAGCGGAGGAAAAAAAATGATGCCATCCGTACCATGTCAGCAACAACACTGCAGGCCTATTTTGCTTTTCTACAGCATCTGTATTTCCCGCATGTGTTACAGTGACCCAGAGGGCTCGGAGGGAGTCTTCTGGCAGAAGCTCATTACTCCATTAAACCAAAAGACTGAGGAGGAATTAACACAATACTGTCCATTGCGTGACAATAACCAGCATTGATTTAGCAGTTACAGTCTGACGTCAGTTGCCTGTGTCCTACTGTGATGTGTTATGAATGAAAAACCTGGGCTGTAGCAGCAATGTTGTGAGTTGAAATTCCTTCCTTCAAGTATAGTAGGCAGATTTAGCAGAAATCACATTTGTCTGCCGCTTTGCTTAAATTATAACGCTCGTGGCATTTAATTTTCTCTCAATATTAAGAAAACACATGGAAACACCAAAACCGCCAAAAAATATATTATGTAGTTAACATTTAATCCGCAGCTCAACATTTTCTCCAACATCTTTTCCTCCCGTTTTTTAAATTGTGTTTGTTAATAACTACAGTGTTTTGGGACATTACAGAGCCTTTGCAAAATGTAGGAATACATATTTTAGGATTGAAAATAAAATATTTAATTGAATTTTTGATTTTGCCATTTTATGACATGTTATGTTATTTTATGTTAAATATACATTGTGGTTGGTTAGCTCAGGTAGCCGACAGGGTTCCTAACTAGGTGGCTTAATCCATGCTTCCTTCTAGTTTTGTGCTGCCCTGGAGCACGACACAAAGTTACAAATTGGTTCTCACATGGGTTTAAAATGCATGGACAAAAGTTCATGAAAAGGTCAAATTCAAAAAGAAGAAAACAACGCCTAAATAATGATTCTCATTTGTTTATCATTCAGACAGGCTCAGAAAGTTTATTTAATAAATGTGAAAATCCACATGAATACGATCATTGCAATGAACATACATACTGTACATATATACATACTTTCCAGGCCTGAATATTTAACACACGTTGAAAACAATCCGAAGCTGTTTTACCACTCAAATTGACTTATGAGGAAGACAACAATAAAAAATATGTTATTGATTTAAGCTGTAATTGTAGTTTTCGTTTTATAAATAAGTATAAAGATCCAAAGAATACAAAATGTTGCGATGCACAGAATAACTCTTAAGCCCCTTTACACAACCCTTTACATGCCCTAGAATTTGTTAGTTTCCCTGTGGATTTCATAGGGAATCTGTGACTGTTATAAGTTTACTTCAAAGCTAATTAATTAGAGTTTCAATAATGTTATTGTGATGAAACAAATGAATAGATTATAATTGTGCCCTGCAGTGGTTTTGACACACTGCATTTGGCCATCAGTATTTGACCATTTCTCTAATTGAATACGATCTGGCGAGGCAATTGCTTTCTCAATGCTGATTATGTTGTATGTATGTCTTATAAAAATGCAGCCCTGCAGCAACCAACCACAACCACACGCGTGAGCTGGTTCCTCTTGCTGAGGAAAGAAACACATGCTATTACTAAAGAAAAGAAAAAAAGATAATGATTTGTAAAATAATTAAATTAATTAAAATGCGTCTGATTTATTTTCTTGTCTTTGACAGGTTTTATGAGATGCAAAAATGGTCACAATTGATACCCTGATTATCAATATACTGATGTGTCTCGTCCTATTGCTGAAGCATTATGTCATTTATTATGTCCAGGAAGCACATCAACATTTTAAATAATTTCCTGAAAATAAAAAGTTTAAAGTCATAATGAGACAAATAAATTAAGGGAAAACTGCTCTAAAATAAAAAATCAGCTATTATTTAATCTCCACAAGTCTCATGTCAGATTCAAAATTGGCGGCAAACTCTGGTTTCTAAAGGGAAGGTGTCTTAAAGCTGCATTCTCTCTAGTGTCAAGCAGGTGACTCCTCTGGTTCTATACGTCTTTTGGGAAAATCACTTGGGCTGGATTTGAGTTGTCAAATTTCCTAAATAAACTTCTTAATTGTGTGAAATGACCCGGACGTAGTGTAAGTGATATGCTATGATGAGAGCTGTTCAAACAAGGCTCTGCTCACTGACCTGACCAATCCCTATACACTTAATATTACAATAAATTAAATGATTACACCTTTGGCCTAAAGCTTCTTTGAGTAAACATATTATGGCATGCAATGTATCATGCTTATATCTAATAGCTAATACACTCTAATCATAACACATCTTAAATCCTCAAATTTCATAGAATTTTAACAATTATGTCATATCATTTTATATAATCCAAAATCAAATGGTTTCCACACAGGGCATTCCTATCTGTACACCTACAACATCCCTTGCTCCTAAGCAACCCTCCCCCAGCCATTCACATTATGGATGGATGTACAGGACATTTGTCTATTCCTAACCACTATTCCTTGACCTCTGTGGAAAAAGTCATGGGGTCGAAGAAAGATTGTTGGGAGAATTTATGAGGATTTAGGAAATCCGACTCCTCCACTTACTAAGCGACATAGTCATGGTGCGACGAGCTGAAGCACGTTTGTGACGTCTGCAGCGGCAAAACTACAATTCTGTGTGGCTTTTGTGTGTGGAGTCTACATGTTCTCCCCGGGTTTCCTCCCACAGTCCAGAGACATTCTCTGGGATTAGGTTGATTGGTAACTCCCATAATTTCCCGTAGGTGAGAGTCTGAATGGTTGTTTGCCTCTGTGTTATCCCTGCCCGATAGGCAGGCAAGCAATCCAGGATGTACACCGTCTCTCGCCCGAAGTTAGCTGGGATTGACTCTAGCCCCCCTGCGACCCTGTATGAAGGATAAGCGGTTTGAAGATGGATGGATGGATAACGATCACTTACATAATCAGTCATTAGTCACGGCTGAATGATCCGTCACTATTTAAATAGTGCCACCACAAGGAATTGTGGGAGCGAATTATTATTATCGACAGCACTGTGACTATTTTCACCAAATCAATTTTGACCTCACACCGTAACATATGAAATAGGATGTGGTCAAAACCTCTGTATGCAAACTCTGTGACTTAGGATTGGTTACATTTAGGCAACTAAAACTACTTGGGAGTAAGAATAAAGTAAAAGACGGTTGTCAACACGTTACCTTGTCAGGAGATTGTTGACAGGTCAGACTAAAGACAGAGGTCATTTTGGAGGCAGGTTGTGATAAACAAATATTGTGGGGACAACTAAACAGCGCTCTTACTATTCGCAGTATTAACATTTCATTTACTTACCCAACATTATGATCTACTACAAAATGACAATCCCTAACAATGAAATGCATCTCCATTGGGATTTCAGGGAAACCTACCTCTCAGATTTCGATTGCAGTTTTAAACATGTGGTTGATGTTGTAAATAGAAAGAAAACCAAACAAAACCACATTGTTGAAATTCCTGGTATGGATTTGTCGTGCGAGCAAAACAAGGACTAGATTGTCATATTGCTTTGATTAAAGTCTCCAATGTTTATTTGTGACAAGAGTATTCTGTCCAGCTGTTTATCGTGCAATAACCTATTTCAAGCAGTTTAACAACAACATGAAAGAAGGCGCTTAATACAAAGTGCGCTTGAATTATATACTGTAGTCTTTAAGAGCATTTTTGATTGGTTTATTAAGATGGAGGCAGCTCCTGCTTAGAACTCTCGGAGAGCCCCATTGGAGCACAGTGATGTCCATCCCTTTAAACTCTCGGATCATCACGCCTCCCGTTGTTTATGAGTTCACTACATATCAGGATGTTTGCAATGTATGTATTTTGCATATGAGTGCTGCGTGCAGCTCCATGTATGGACATGTTATTGTTAATATGTGGAACAGGTGTTTCATGTTTTTCTGCATTTGACCCAAATAGTGCGCGCAGCTTTTTAGCAACATGTTCGTGTGCTGGTGTTGTAACTTGAAATACATGCTGTTCGTGCAATCCGGTCTTTAAGCCGCCTTCACCCATTATTACTCTGCATTTATAGATCAAGTGTAATTTCATTCTAGCGTGAGCGTGCATGATTATTTTGTAATACTCAACAGAATAAATAAGTGTGTTTGTATTGTTATCTACTTACTTACAGACATACTGTATATTGGTCGGTGGTCTTCACTGCAGAATTTCTCACCTGTACTAAGCTGCTGGGCCACAAAGAGGTCCTCTTCCACCTCAAAGGGAAATGTGTTATTCGAAAAAGCAGACTGTTGAAAATGGTTGTTTTCAGCGAAAACAAATTCCAGGTCTAACCAATTGCCAGGCCTTGTGTAATTGAAAAGACTACTCCATATAAGTTTTTAAGTAACAAGCAGTCATTTTTGTGGCAGTTTTTGACGTATCCCACAAAAGCTTTCATTCTGGCCGAAATGGTGCATTTATCCATGATGGGGGGGGAAAAAGTCTGAAATGACTCTATGGCCTTTTGAACCTGCAGTCAAATATCATTGTTTTAGTTCCTCTCCTGAGAGGCAGTCACTAAATACTACTGTTAGTACTGATATAAAATCCATGAGGACGTTCAAGAAAGCAGAACAGCGCCTTTGAAAAATGATCCAAAAATGTCTCTGTGCTTTCTATCAAAATGTTGTGTTTAATGTTCACAGGACGCGGTTTTGGTGGTCTCAGCGTTGCCCCATGTCTAACTGATTAGTCAGTTGTATTGTTTTTTGTTTGTTTACAGGCTAACTACAAAGAAGATAAAACTGCATTGAATAGGTATTTGAATCTAAAACATGTGCCCTTTAGTAACACATGCACATTCGAGCAGGCCGATTGCTTGGCCTGGAAATGCTAAAGCGTTGTCAAGAACTCCACATCGCTAGTTGACCCCAAAGAAGTGTAAAAGAGTTTGGTTGTAATTTAGTATATCCAGTATCAAGGGGCAAAAGTAAATTGCATTTAAAAAATTGGCACATTGTGTAATGCCCTTCTGCGGATGACGTGCTTTTCCAAACGGCACCAACTTCGACATGTCTTTGGGTCCCCAGCAGATAGGATGAACAAGATAGGCAAGGACATCCCACATATAGACAAAAAGACCAGAAGAATCAGAAGCCATTTATTGCCACATATGTTACACGTAGAGAAATTTGACTTGGTGAATTGGTGTGCAGTATAAGAATAAACTATACAAGCAAAAATGAAAACAATGTAGAGACAACATAACAGACAGATGTTGCCATGGTGACAGAAACCACTGTGACAGACTGTGAAAGAAAATATTCAGGAGAGGCTGTCTTTAGCCTCACACCGACCTGAGGTCAGTCCGGAAAGGGATTTTTAGAGAGGGAACTCACAGATCATAGTAGAGGGACCCATGTGGTGTCTGTGGCTTGGCCAATCAGATCTCAGGGCTGTTTCACCAAGAGAGAGAAATCACACCTAGGTGCGAAGGCCCATTCCTTGCGGGGGGGGTCCTGCAGCAGAAAGCTGCTTAAAAAGTCAGCCTTGGTTTTATGCTATGGTGGGAGCCCAGCAATGGCATAGTACTGATCAATCTAAATGCCATGCAGGTAGCACGCTTTTTAAAAGATGCTGGCTTGTCATCTTCCCAACCGATTCTCTCTTTTAGTAGAAGTTATGTTGGCATTCTTGTGAAACATTTACAAAATTAACTTTCGGCGGTACTTTTACATCCGCTTTCGCTTCAGAGCTGACGCGGAGGGGTATCTGGAGCTGCCTCCGCCATTCTTTCAAATCGACACTCCGCCAAGAGACCCGCCCTCCTCTGACTCTGATTGGTTTGTAAGGACGAGTCTTCGGTTGGGATTATTTGCATGGGATGCATTGACGACAACTCAGCAAATACGGAACAAACCCGGTGCCGTATTGATTCAATACGGGACAATTCAGTATTTTAAGGGACGGGTGGCAACCTTAGGTAAAAGGAGCAGTGAGTGGTAGATCTCCTAAGATCTCCTCCTCCTTTCTCTGTGCTGTTGATGCATGCATATGAATCTGTCATTAGTCGTCTTCCCCCCCCTCTCCCCTTCACCGACATTTCCAAGCCCCCTCACACTGTGACACCCCTTCATCTGCGTTCCATCTTTCTCCATCTCTTCCCTCTTGTCCTTTCCAACGAGGGGGGCGCCACACGCATGGCGTAGTTAAATACCTTGTGATTTATAGAGCTTTAATTTGGTTGTGGCCCATCCATTGTTTTGCGGCTTGTGGTGCGGTGGGCCGCCCCGCTGACAGTAATTTCCCGCCTGTTGGGGAGGATTGTGTATCATAAGCTAATGGCATCCTATTTTCCAGCCATCTTCATAAAAGGAAGGAGTATGTCTATTTGTGGTTGAAAAAGAGAGCTTGTATCTTTGAAATAAGTAAGAAATATTGGAGGAACAGGAAACCAAGAGCATGTTATATTTAATCTCCCAGTTGCATTTGACACAGGGGGGATTGAAATGAGCCAGGCTGTCTATGACTGGATGTGGGCTGGGGCAGGCTGATGTGGAATAAATGGTAGCAAGTAACTGCTTGCTAACTCCTATCCTCATACCTCCATCACGTCGCTGCGGCCAGTTTGATAGCTATCACACATATTTACTAAATACACCCATATCACAAACACTTTTTACTTTCAACATGTATGAGTTAGTGACTTGTTTACAACAACGGTTGTTTCTAAGAACAACCTTATTTAGCAGCTTGACTATTTTTTTCATGTGAGTGTGAATGTTATTACAAAAACCCATTTACCCATATATACAGGGATTGTCGTCGGCAACATAATTTGCAATTTGACAAACCCATCAAGATGAGTGGGAAAGTTTAAATACATTGAACTAAATTGTTACCAGCATGAAACTGTGGTTGTTGCACCTTTGCTAGTAAAGCCAAAGTTGCGGTAATACTGTAATGCCAAATAGTGCCTCCTTCTTGTAGCCAAGTACCATCAAATAGGTAGTTTAGTAAAGCTAAGAAATGTGGTCACTTCCACTGAACAGAACATGAACATGACCTTTTTTTATCAAGTGCACAAGTAGCACAGAGTGGTAGAGTTGAGGGAAATTATGCTTTCTTTGATGGTTAGTGAGTCTGTCTACTTCCATATCTTTCACCTTGGGGGAGCTGAGCTCTGGATGTCTCTATTACATCATAAAAAGCATTCATTATTAAAATAAC